TACCGATACCCAGTATCGGATCGGCGCATCTCTAGTACAGACTGTCAAAAGTATGTGGACAGCTGAATGTGTCTGTTGATTATGATTAACATAGAGTTGATCTCAACGTGTCCACATACTTTTATCACTTCTTCTTCTCTAAACCATCTAATTGACTTTGACATTGTGCATCCAGAAGTATGTTGATGATTCAGCATTACATGTACAAGAAATATGGTGATGGGTGTCCACATACTTGTATAAGCAGATACCTCATATTCCTCAGAAACACATACACCACTTGGCCAAAAGTATGTGGACAGCATCTGTGAACGATGTGTTGGCTCCTGAGGATGTCCACAGACTTTTGGCTGTGTACTGTATGTCAGCAGAGACACAACCAGGAAGTGAATATTTGAGAACAGCTGTAGAAGAACCCACAAAAACACTGAAAACCTGCGTATGAACGTGTCACTGGTGGAAGTGAAAGATTCGGGGTCCGGTCCTGTAGCCGTCCCCCGAACAGAGTTGCTGCGTGATGGGCTTTCTCCTGTTAGCTTACTGTCAGGTAAGGTTTCTCAGTGACGCTAAGCTAACACCATACAAACCATGTGCTCTGTAGCATTGGTCCACAATGCCCCCTGCTGACAGAACTCTGTAGTTACACAGCAAATGAGGCTCTTTGTTGGTTGGTGCTGTTTACGGCATGACTCAATTTAACATCTGAGTTTCTCACCACTGAAAAAAAAGAAACGAAAAACATGTTTTACAGGTTATACTGGACAAACTGGGACTGTTCACTGAGAATAAAACAGATTAGATGAACCAAAATGTGCTTTATTTAGATTCCTTGATTGAAGCGTCATCATCTGATGTTGTGCTGTTCACATGAAGCAGGTTCAGCTTTGAGCGGAAGACATCGTGAAGCTACAACTTTAGAATCAGTCACACACTCATGTTCCACCTTTGAAAACCTCAGACGACACCTGTTCTCACCTGTTCTCACCCTTGCTCAGGTACATTCATGTCCCAGAGTACAGCTGAACCAAACTCACAGAAATCAGTTCAGCCCTTTAACATGCACTTTGGTGGCTGTTGATGCTTTGACTTCATCACAGTTCATCGTCAGACTGATCGGACTTCTCAGAGCCTCCGTTTTACCTGCTGCACTCTCATCACAGGCCGATTCCAAAGGGACTGAGAAGCAAAAGCCAGCTGCACTGATCCAAACATCTCCTTCCCTGTGGGTGAGTTAAAGGACCTTCCAACTTCCTTTGAGCAAATCTCACTTCCCAGTTTTCATGGAGTCCAAATGGAGCTGACTACTTCCTGGTGCTGTGTTCAGGTGGGACTCAGTCTGTCCAATCAGAGTTGCCGTCCTGACCTAAGCCCACAGCAGGAGCGTACGCCTCCACAAGGGAAAGCAGTCCCAGATCAGCTTTACGTGTGAAATGGGCCTGGCGGTGAGCTACAGGTGTGGCCTTTGGAGCCTCACCTGAACATTTCACTGCAAAAACTTAAACCTCTGCTAAATGTTGCACAAGCTGAAATGTAAGCGAAGGTGTGCGCAGACAGAAGTGCACTGGATTCACTGAAGAAAGACCACAAACCTGATCTGTGGTCTCAGCTGATGCAACACCTACGTTCAGAATCAGTGTGACCTCTTATATAATTATATATACGTACGAACGTCATTACGGATTATGTAGAATCTGTCTGATCTAGCCTCCTCCAGCATCACAGTGATGTTTGTGGGGACATCAGTGACTCTGCTGATCTGGTTTACAGCATGTGAGGACAGAGCAGTCAGGCTGATTCTGAGTTAAGACCTCCACGTGGACGCAGAGCTCTTCTGTGCTTATTTGGCTTTGACATGTTAAGACCTGGATGGTCCGTGACAGGTGCAGAAACCCAACTGAACTGAGTCTTTTGTTCTTTAGAGCCCCAGAAAATGCAGCTGGACGTCCTGCAGCAGCTCCACTCGTCCTCCAGGGGGCCCCGTCCCTCAGTTTGAGAACCAACACCTCAAACAATAATTCAGTTAGAAAAACATCAGCACGCGTCTCCGTCAGAAGCCGCCCAGCGAACAGCGAGCAGATGGATGTTGTGCTGTTCTGGAAGACTCCTTATTGCTACGACAGGAACCAGACTCCATCGCGTCTTTCTGTTTGTGATGTCACATCAACGCCTCCAGGTTTTTTTCACAAAGTCCTTGAATGTGTTGCTGATGTCATCAAAGTCACATGACTTGAGAGTTGTGCTGTGAGTCACTGATTGGTCCTCAGCCCTCCTCCTCCTGCCTCAGCCCAGAGTCCACCTGTGAGATCATCCTCAGCTTCTCCCTGTTAGAGAAGCTCCTCTGTGACCTCACGCCTCCACTCTGTGACGTCACCTGATGTGATGACGCCAACTCAAACGACTCGTCCTCTCCGTGCGACAGCTTGCTGTAACCTGCGCCACTGCCGGTGGGCAGGCTCCGCCTCCTGCAGGGGGGGGCCAGCGTGGGTGACGAGGAGGAGAGGAGGTGAGACAGGGAGGAGAGCGACAGGTGTGAGGGGGTGAGGGAGGAGGAGGAGAAGCCTCCTGGCGCCCCCCTGTGGAGGCTGCTGGAGCTGCAAGAGGCCTGGAGGCATCGGTGTGGGGGAGGGGTGGAGGCGCACACAGGAAGTGGTACCTCCACTCGATCCTCCTCTTCCTGTCTGCCACCTCCCAGCTCTCTCCCCGCCTCCGCCCCTCCTCCGCCCCAGCGCCGGCTGGTCCCGGCCCGAGCCGAGTGCCTCCTGCGGGGGGCGGAGCTGAGCGCCTCCTCCTGCAGGGGGGAGGGCAGGTGGGAAGGGCTGAAGCTCTGGGGGAGGGAGAGTCTGTGGGAGGAGGAGGAGAGGGGAGGAGTCTCCTGCTTCTCCTGGTAGACACTGAAGATGGCGTCGCCTCTTCCATCGCCACCACCGCCTCCTTCTCTGCTATTGGCCGGCTCCCTCCTGTTCAGCAGGGAGGCGGGGTATGCCCGCGGCTTGGCCTCCAGGCTCTTTGATTGGACGTAGTTAACGAGGCCGTTGAGGGGATTGGCCGAGGAGCGGCGGGCGGAGCCTGAGGAAGCGTTTGGTTTACGGAGGCTGTGGAGGTCGATGACGGTGGAGTAAATGTCCCGCAGGTTGATCACCTTCGTCTTCTTGTCACGGTTCTCGTGCAGGACGGCGTTGGCACAGATGAAGAGGAAGATCCCGATACCCATGATGAGAGGTCCGAAGACCTTCAGCCTATCAGAGTACAGATACCTGTAGAGACATTTCACACAGCCAGTCAGAGAACAGCTCAGAACAAAGATTGGTGGTACATCAGAACACAAATACAACAAAAGCACCACCTACAGCCTGCAGAGGGACCTCGGTAATAAGTGACCCAGTGATCACGACAGTGTTTCGCAGGAAACCAAGAACCACCTCATTTAGGACCTCCAGAACCTCATGCAGTACCTACAGAACTTCACGAAGGACTTCCAAAATTTTTTGAAGGACCTCCAAAACTTCTTGAAGGACCTCCAGAAGCTCCTAAAGTATCTTCAGAACCTTCTGCAGGACCATCTGAACTTCCTGAAGGACCTACAGAACCTTTTGAACCTGCTAAAGGTGGAGAAACACCTGACTGTTACCTGTCCAGGAACTCTTCCAGGAAGCCTCGTGCGAGCTGTTGGGTCCCATTGACGGTCTCTGTGTGGTTGAAGCCTTCATCACCTCCTCCGTCGCCTCCTTCGCCTCCTTCATCTCCATCCATCTCCGCCCTCATCTCTCCAGCCTGAAACAGAACTTACAGCGTCACGCCTGAGTCCTCTGTGGACCGGTTCTGGTCCAGTGTGACTGACGCTCACCTGGGCATCAGCAGCTGCAGGTGTGGGGCTGCTGGAGGACACGGAGGCCATGGCGGCGCCCTCCTGTGGCCGAGCGCTGAAGAACAGTCCGTCACGAGGCCAGTACCCCAGAGCCGCCATGACCACGCCCACCAGCAGGACAAGCACGCCGAGCGCCGCCACCAGACCGGACACCGAACAAAGCTTCAGCTTCCCCTTCACCACCACCACCTCGCTCCTCCTGACATCATCAGGAAGTGACATCATCT